TCTCTCTCTCTCTCTCTTTCTCTCTCTCTCCCTCTCGTTTCGTTCGTTCGCCCCAGCCGTCATGTTATCGTATCATAAACGCCATGAAGAGAATGCAAGAGCAGCAGTTGCATTTCTCTTTAATTTTAAACATACGAGCGAAACGTATGAGCGAATGTTCCATAAAAACGAAAAGTGGCATCAATTTTATTAATATTTATCAATCTCAATTTTGACAAGAAAGCAAAATCTGCAGGAGTCGTGCTACGATGGCCCGTGTTATCCAATAATCCTACCTTCTTATTCCATTGTTATCCAAGTTTTCCAACGTCATCTAATTATCTTCCGAGAGATGCACGCCAACCGGAGATCCTTCTCGAGAGGGCGGGTCGATATTTCTTACCGGGAAGTTCCTTACTACCGATCGATTAGTCGCACCACCCCGGTAGGGGTGGCTGTCCGACAGCGTAAATGCGCGGGCGCGTCCTTTTATACGAGCCGGTTTAAAATGGTGACTGTCGACAAGCTCGACCCGCCATTTTCCACGTCCCATCGAGAAAACGTATATCTTTCCCCTTAACCAAACGAGGGATGAAGTACTTTTTTTGTGCTCACGAAAAAGCTACGATCGAGTTCACTATATCATCCACCGCGAGAGAACGTTTAAGGCCCGTATTTATAGTCACGTTTCTGCTTAAGAACTAGGCTAAAACCAGTCTTGAAATAATACGATTTAGTAAATAGGTTTTGAGATTCAATTTTTTAAATTCATTATATCATTTTTGTAATCTCAATTTAATTAGAAAAGAAGTTTGTTTGGAGACCTAAGAATTTTTTCTTGCAAATAGGTTTATGATTAACTTTTGGGAGAAAATATGTGTATGTATGTATATAACGGTAAAATGTATGTTAATTTTTTAATCTTATAATATTTTTTTAGAAATGTGAAAAAAGAATTTAAGAAAATTATTTTTGTGAAATTGATTTAAAATACATACAAGAAACAATTTTTATAATAATAAAAAAAATTAAATATAATAAAATATAATATTATTATTTTTACTGCAATGTTATTATAATCTCAAAAATAATGTTAAATGATAATTTTTTAGTATAAATTAAATAAGGTAGTATACATATTTTTTTAATTATACGTACGTTTTAAATTAATCTTTTCTAAATTTGTTACCATATTAATAATAAGTTGATACGATAACGGTACTTTTAATGTTTATTTAAAAAATAGAATATGTCGCGAAATTTTTCACGATAGTTTGTAATAATTTTTTCGGTTCATTAAAATTATGCAATTTTATTTTAAATACATTTTATTCTTTAAATAATAAGTGTTAATAATTATTTTAAATAAGAAAATTAATATGTATTGTTAATTATTTAATTTTATATTAAAAGAAAGAATTAAATAATTCTTATAATAAGGAATTAATTGACTATTAGTAATATACATATATAAGAATTCATAAGGATGTTTACATCGATGACAATGTTTCACGCGATTGATTCATCTGGAATAAGAATAAGAACGAATATAAAAATTATGAATTATCGTTTTATTACAATTTAAGGAGGTAATTCTTTCTTCTTATGTATGCTCGCGCGCGCGCGAATTTAAATCTTTAATTAAATCTTAAATCACGTTTTAAGCTTTTGGATTAAATATAACCTTAGAATGGAAATCTTGTTATTTGAATTTTAATTTTGAAAATTTGATTTAACGAGATTGAAATATCATCGCTATGATATCTTTAAGAATTTTTAATAAGTGAGTTAATAATCGTTTAACTGTAATAACGGTAAAATGCAAAATGATATTTTTTTAATATTTGTCGCGATCCCATTTGGAAGAATACGTACAATAAACATATAGACGAATTCTCATCAATTATACTTGTATGCTGACTTAATTATTATTACAGGAAAAATAATATACCTATTATTCTCTGGCCTGTCTATTCCAAACTGATAGACTTTCATACAGATTGTTATCTATTTTATAAATATCTATCAAATATTTATAAATACAATATTCAATATAATTTTTTAAAAATAATTTTTTAACGTTTATTATAATATTTTAATAAAATAAAAAATAATATATCATTCATTGATATGATATTCAATAGCGAAGTTATAATTACTCTCAAATATATATAATCTCCTTTTGTATTTATTATGCGACACTGTAAAAACATAATTAATTGCGCGTATTAATCATTACAATAAAATAATTATGTGCACTTTGTATAGCACTCCCGATGTTAACATACGTGACGTACATTTTACAATTGTACATTGCGAATAGAATACCATTGAAATGTGAAGGCAAAAATAACGTGAAAAAAATAGCTCTCTGATTCGTTCGACATCCGTAAATATCGTAAATTGGCACAACGAACGAGATTTCAATCGACGTAGAATTTCAGCACAAATCACAAACGGCGAATTTATGCTACGCAGTTTACGAAGCTTCAAATATGGGATTTAAGATTTAATTATACGACTGCGTTTATTAATTATAGCAATGTCTTGCAATGCTAGATTTAGTATTGTATATGTAAAATATTTCGCGTGCACAAACTCAATGAAATATATGTACTAATTATTGATAAATGATCGACATAGCTACTATGACGGTTTTCCATTACTTCATTTACTCAACTTGATAATTCATGTATCACTCTACACTCTCAATCCAAAAGTAATGAGCACGCAAATTACATATTTTGCTAGCAAAAAATTTAAAGTTAAATGCAATTTTCAGAGCTAAGTATTGCTACTGAAATAATTACTGCCTGTAGAAAGATTATAATAAAATTTTTTATATTTCATTATAATCCTCAAATACTTTATAATTTTCGTTCCATATCGCTTAGATAGAAATCGCTAAAAAATCTATTCGTTATAAATAATAGATACAAATAAAATAAAAATTTATATAAAATATTTGCTTGTATAAAATTTTTTATTTTAAATATATTTTTAATTTAATTTCATTTAATCATTAAAATTGCACTTGCAATTTACGAACAATTAGTTAAGCTAATTGTTTATAAAAAACAACAAATCGTATTCGATAACGCTGTAGAGCGGCACGCGCCACTATCTGTCGACTCGAGCTTCGCAAATGACAATACAAAATGCGCAACGGCCCCTCAGTACGCAGTGACCTTGCGTCACCAAGGCTGTACACCAGCCAGTTTTACCACAAATATTCAACATGGTACTATGAAATAATTGTACGTCAAAATAACTGCGTTTATCGCTCCTTGTATGATATTTCAAAGTAATTTTGATAAAGAAAATGCTACTGTATATACTTATTTTGCTTCAACATCACCTATAGGTAACAAATGATTTTGTTTGATAAAGTTAAAAAGAAATAAAATATTGAAATGGAAATATTATTACGTGACTCCTAATTAATATTAATAAGAGAATTTGTTTCAATTTAATAAATAAATATATATAATATTTT